AGCCCCAGCCCCAGCCCCTCGCCCTCCCTCACTGCCATGGGGCAGGGCTGGGCGGGGGGAGGAGGAGGGCAGATTGAGGCCCCAGCAGTGAGGGAGGGAGTGGGGCACAGGCAGGAGCAGGGGCTGGGCTGTGCACGTAATTGCATGTAAACACCTACAGAAACCTGGAGCTTTAACCAGATTTCTTTAGGTCAGCAAAATCAGAAAGCCACCGTGCATTAATTGCTGAGGAATCGGGCATGGAAAACAGAGGAGACGTGCTACTGGTTTTTTAAAAAATTACTTCAACAAGTTCACCAATCAGTCCTTAATAGTGAATTGTAGATCCAATGTACCACGATTAGTCCTGGTGCTAATAGCTAAAGTCCAAATACTCTGGGATAAAGCTTTACAGAGGACAAGAAGCTTTGTTTAAGTCCCTGTTATTGCCCTTTTTCTTGATCTTTCCATTAGGTGGTGGGGATTGCTCCATCAAAAGCAGAACGGAGAGTAGCCCTTGACCCACATCTCCCAAGAAGTCCTACAGAGGCCATGTGTCTCTGCCCCATCTCCACTGCTCCGTCCTTTCCTTCTCTCTTTTGGAGAAGACTACGCTCTTGATACCCTTCACCTTCACCCTACCCTCACTTTGCTAACCCACTATTTGTGGGTCCTTGGTTTCACAACACTGAGTAGGAATAAATGATTGAAACTCAGGAGATCTCTCTCCTCTAGTCTGTAAGGTGAGGGGCCATCTTGGTTTTTCTTTCCTTTTCCTTGAGGACTATATTGGCCTCTCTGTTTGCAGGGCTCATCTTGAAGCCCTCACATAGACAACAGATGACTTCAGGCTGAATTTTGCCCAGAGATATCAGAATCTGGTTTTGTATATATAAAAGTCTTATCCAAAGTTGTCCAGCACCAGAAGGTGTTGGGTGCAACGCTAGAGCCCGGGAAGCACAGAATAGAGTTTGAATGAATGAATAGCAGTTCATAAATATAAAAATGGAGTTGTTATATCTCTGGGGATTTTGTTTCCTGGTGGCTAGTGTATAACCTTGAGCCAATGGCACTGGTTAGAATTGACCTTACTTTGATTATACTGGAATATGTGAATGGGCTGAGGGGCTCCGCAATTTGCCTAGTCAATTTAATTCAGTTCAGGCCTTCCTACATGCAATTGCTTCATGCAGGGTACCCTGAACCTCGCCTCTACTGGTTCAAAGATGGGCAGCCATTACATGCTTCAGACCGAATCCTAAAGACTGAGAAGAAAGATTTTAATGCGCTGGAAGTTCTCAGTGTCACGAAGGAAGATGCCGGTCAATACTCAGCATTTATTACCAACTCTGCCGGCTCTGCATATACCTCAGCCAGGCTGGTGGTCAAAGGTAGGTTTGGGACTAACGACTGTCATTGCATCAGTGACGCGCTCTCTCTTATCGGTTTATCGCTTTGATTAGAGCATGAAGAAGTCAAGGTCTTCAAGGAAATTAACTGGAGAATTAACCAGAACAGCCTCTGGCAAGGCACACCACCTCTCTGTTCTCATTTCCAGTTGTTTTACACCTTTCAGCAGTAATGACCTCAACAGCTTCTTGAAAGGATTATGCTTAAAAACAAATGGCATGGTGTGACCCATATGTGAGACTACAGAATACTGCAGTCCTTCTCTAAGTTTTGAGTTTTCCCTAATGTGGGCAAACAGATGGCTTTAGAGCCACTGCTTATTGTTAAATTGAATAATTACTTTTAATTTAAAATAATTATTTCTTATAACTCAATAATGGTTCACAAGGAAAGCCAAATGTTTTGTGTGATAATATATCAAATTGATTCTGTAAATGGCAAGGTATATTAATTGGAGATTAAAACTGAATCCAGCCAGTTTTATGTTGAATTACTGTATACACAATTTATAATATAAATGCTTATTAGATGTTGATAGATAGCTGTACATAAATACATACTTATGTATGTGTGTGTGTGTATATATATATATGTGTGTGTATGTGTGTATTAGACACACACACACACACACACACACTATATATATATATTATATACACACACACACATTATATTACACACACACACACACACACATACATGTATATATGATGGAAGAGATTAACAATAATGTTTAATAAGACTGTAAGTTCTGAATGATATGCATTGCACCGAGCAATTACATGCTTGTCTTTACAGTTTATGGAGGGGAAAGCTGTTTTTGTGTCTAGTGATATTTTTTAGAATCACAAAAATATAGGGCCCTCAGGAAGTCATCTAGTTGAACCTTTTGCTCAAGGCAGGATGTGGCCCTGACTAAACCATCCCAGACAAGTGTTTATGGTGAGATGATTTTTCTTCCTGTGTTGCAGATCCCGAGGAGAAGGAAGAACCACCAGAAACAGGTGAGAGGAGCAGCCCAACAGGTTATATAAATACAATGACTAGGATTGTTCGGTAGTCTAAGCTCTGGTTGCATTATTTCACCATTTTCCATGAACACTAATTTTCAGATGCCCAAGAACAGCTGGTACCACCCAGGTTCCTGGAAAGATTTACCAATAAGAGAGTGAAGAAAGGTGTAAGCATCACCTTCTCAGTGAAGGTTGAAGGTAACTTGATCACAACTCCCTTTCTGGAGTGGGCTTAATTTACTCTGAGCTGCATACTTACCTAGTGCATGCTATCCTCTCCCTGAAGTCCTCACCTAATGCAAGGAATTGGGAGACGTGGGTTCTCTTCCCCCCTTTGCAAAAGAATTGCTGTGTACTCTTGGTCAACATATCAAACTCTTCTTTGCCTCAGTTTCCCTATTCACTCAGCAAATAAAATAGCATAATATTATCCCATCCTTATTTGCCGCATTACTTGGAAGGAGTGTGGTTTAAGCAAGTAGTCCCTTTTGGGATGGTTAATTCTTGCATTTCTGTAAAGGCAGTTGAAGTCTTCAAATCAAAGATGCGATCAACACACTCGTTTTCATTTATTTATGTATTCAGTCATTCGCATTTGTTTTTACTGGAAATGGAGCAGCAGAATTCGCTTCCCGCTTAGCTGAGTACGTCGGGTTTATTTGAAGGGAGGGCCACCAACAAAACAGAGGTAATCGCTCTTTCCTTTAGGAAACCCACTGCCCAGCATTACTTGGCTGAAAGAAGAATCTAAGGAAGACGTCCTCTGGATCAAGCCGGAGACCCCGGGGTACAAACTTGCCAGTTCCAACATGCATCACAGCCTGATCCTGCTGGATGTTGGAAAGAAGCACAGCGGGACCTACACTTGCATTGCCACCAACACGGCTGGCCAGTCCATCTGCACCGCCTCCCTCGACGTTCTGGACGGTAAATCTGCGCTACGTTACTAACCCGCTCCACAGCTTGCATTGACGTAACAGTATGGTGTAGACTAGCAATAGCTCATCGCCACGTGTTGAACATGCTGAAGGAAGAGCAGATGCAAATAGGCAATGCACTTCAACAAGCTGTGACTCGGCTGCCTACATTTCCCCAGGACTCTGGTTAATCGCCCCTTCTCTTTGCTAGAAAAGTATTACACTCATCTCTTGTGAGATGGATCCTTACAGGACCATGTGTCAGGTTCAAGGCAGGTTTATCCATAAACAAAAGAAGATCCTCAAGAATAGTTAAAGGAAAAGAATAAAAAATAATGCCCCAAATCAACCCATTAGACACCCTATGGACCTGGAGTCTTCATAGTGTTTTGTACCGCGTTAGTTAAATAGCTCTTTTCTGGCCCACACCTTCTGAGTATAAATGCTTATTTTTCAGTAAAAGAGGCTGAAGTGCTGACGCAGGAGCGCATCATGGTGACAGAAGCCGTAATGACCACGCTCGGGTAAGCTGATGGCAGCATGCATTAAGCTGGAATAGCGTATACGTGATTTCTCCAGAGTCCGCGGAGATACATGTATAGAAAGTATTATGCTTAATCATGTCTTGAAGGCTGAGTTGGTTCTAAACTTTCTGCGTGCATTTGAGTCCTGGGTGTTGCTCTGGTTTGGCAAATGCCCCAAGTATTCAAACTGCCAGAATCTCCTTACATGACCCGACATTTGCAACGGTAGCTTCGGAAAGCCCCCAAATTGCAAAGTTAAGTTAAAATTTCCTCTTTGCAGGAGCAAGGCGATGCCGTGGGCTGGTGCCCTAGGCTTTCTTAAAGGGAAACCACCCTGATTCCAGTCCAATCTTGTCCTTCCTAAGCATATTAAGCATATCTTCTGAGTTTCCTCTGGATATATCTACATTGCCTGTCTGAACTGGCTACTAAGTCCCTTTCACCCACTCCTGGTCCTACCCCTCATGCTCCAAACCCAAGGTGGAGGATGTGAGGGGGCTCCACGCACACCGCTGCCTGTCCCCACTTCCACCCTGAAGATCTCTTTTTCTGCCGTACGTGAGAGCAGCAGTGGGGGCCGTTCCCAAACCATCCACCCACCTCCGCAGCTCTACGCCTGGACCGTGCAGGGTGGGAGTGGTGGCTACGGTCAAGTTTTTAGCAAGTCTCAAGGACCATAGAGACAACGTAGACATATTCTGTGTGCACTCAAACAGCGGCTTGAGGCTCGCCTGAATTTTCCTACAGTTCTTTTGTTGCAAATAGGGCTTCGTTGTCAATCTGTTGGACCTGATTTGCTACTGGCTTACGTATCTGTGGAAGTCTGTGGACTCGGTGTATAACCCTGCTGTGTGAGAGAACCAGATAAAACATTTTGACTTATTATTCTGTCCTCCCTGTGAATTCAGTTGCAAAATGGTATCAAGACACCTAGTTGCTATTTGTTTTTACAGTCCCGCTAACGTCTGATTGAATAAGAGCATAGGGCCCCTAATCAAAAGTTAGAAATCTGCGGGAAAATACCTTTCTGGATGTAGCCCTATGTAACTGCGCATGGGTCAGGGCAGTGGAGAATTAGGCCCTGGGTGACTCCATTTCACACGTAATTTTAACTTTTAAATAATTTTCATATGAATAAAATACACATCGTTTGGTTTCATGTCTGTCGAGTTGAGCATAAGGTTAAGAGTGAAGGCCTTGTTAAAAATTCTCCATTAGGGGACGGTTAGTTCATCATCTAACCAAACTGCACCAGATTCACATCCTGCTTCCAGAGATTTGTTTTTAATGGAAGCTTTTCACATGGAACAGATGGGAGGTAGGATCTGAACAGCACAGTCCAAAGTATGACAAAGTCTCCCTCTGGAGAGACCTTTACTGAGCTGCCATATGCTGGGTATTTTAGTGTGCACGCCATCAGTATCTGGG